CAAAATACCTTCTAGACAATTACTATAGCATTTTTGCCTATAATTCTCCAGCAATTAAAGTGATAATCCAGATAAACCCCCTACTGAAGCATGTTAATCACTTCTCTAAGCAGACACTACTATTCATGTCACCTTGTCCTTCAAAGCCAAGACCAAGCCTCATAATCCTTCCCAACTCAGAGACACAGGCAGTGACCACCAACAAACCCACCAAAGCCAGCACAGACCCCTCCTGCCATTTCTGTCCCAAGGATTAGTGCACCAAGACAGAGCAACACAGTGTCGTGAAGGCTGTAAGTTAGCACATTTCATCACAGACTGTGTGACAGAAGTACGTGAACTACTGCTTCCCTATCAAGACACCCCCGCCAGTAGTGGTGAGCTCACAGAAACATCACTTTAGAGACAACTCCTATAAACCCTCCCGCCCAATACTAGATGCTTTGTTAACTGGCAAAATGGATGAAAGAAATGAGTGGTAACTGGTGATATCATCGGCTTGTTAATCAGAGTAATGGATGCCAGGAGTGTTTCTCAGTTAAATTCATGGATTGGCTAAAATATCACAGGGCCCTCCTACCCACGTATGAGTAGGGCATGTGCCATAGCTGGTACCCAGGGGTCATATCGAAGACTTGGTCCCTAAATGGTCCTATAAGAAACTGCAGGGCTGAGGGTTATCTAGTGGCCTGATGCTGCCCAGTTTCCAGAAATGAGTCCCGAGAATCCCGTCTGCCTCTACTAAACCTTTCAGATCAGGTACAGACAGTTAACTTAAAGGACAAGACCCGGGACGGTTCCCCATCTGCATGCCAATAATGTTTTATAATATCTGCGTGTCTGGAGACTTGCTTTCAATAAGAGCTGGTAGACAGAGCTTGCAGAAGAGGGCAAACTAGCCTTCATCAACCTCTACTGGCGACTATTATTCATCAAAAAGAACCTAATAATTGGACATGGCCAAACTGTTTAGTTAAGGTACGTGTCTGTGCTGACATGCAATTCCATCACCCACAGCAAAGCCTCTCTCAGACCAAGGGACCAGAGTGAGGGCGTGGGTGTGGAAAGGATTTCCTTCTGCTCCTGCCGGTGGCCACGCGGCACTCGTGGGACCACTCCAGCCACCTTTGTTACTGAGGAATGAGCATCGGCCAAGCTGTGCGCTAATTCAGGATGATGAATCGGCTTTACCTAGTTGACAGTGAAAACCGACCTCAGGTGGGCATCCGAAGAGCTGTGGTCAGCAATGCCACAGGGGGTGGAAAGCCATTTCCACACGTAAGTGACATCTAGCAGCTTTACATACTTCCTGTCCTGCAGTGCCAGAAGTTAAAACAAGAAGATCTCCATTGTCGTGCTAATTTGATGTGGATGTATCTCCCACAAGCAAGCTCCAGTTCCAGCAACGTTTTGCAGACATTGAGGCAAGAGCAATGGGGATTTACTCAAGACCCACACGACTGCACAGCGGAGGAGCTTCACCTGCTCCGGGAGGACCTGTTAAAGGGCACACGCAGCGGACACTCTAATAAAAGCCTGTAGATCTTTCCTAGGCAACATGTGCTCGATGAAAACCGCCTGATTCGGGAGTGGTAGCCTATTTGTGTGAAACGGCATTTTCAAAGGTGAAATACGTAAAATCTTATTACACGTCAGCCTTAATAAACATTAGCGATCAATTTTGATGAGATCACTCAATCTGAACCCCAATTAAGTTATTCCTCCCCCAAAGTCGAATTCTACCCTCATTAGACCTGTATTACAAAAAAGTTGTACTCAACTTTCAATTTAGCCAATAAAAATTTTGTAAAAACGTCTTTTTCTCATTGTATAACTACCTATGTACCTTGATTTTGCCTCCTGGCCCACAAAGTCTAAAATATTTACTATCTGACTCATTACAGAAAAATTTCATTGACTCCTGAAACATTTTAAAATGAGGTAGACCTACTGCTCTGTTGATACTGATATGGAAACGACGTATTTTTCAAAAAAACAGATTTTAAGGCAATAGGATAATGTAATCCTACATATGTGATAAAATCCCCCTAAAACATCTTCTTGCACTTGTGTGTTTGTACACACACACACACACACACACACACACACACACACAGTCTGGAAGGAACACACACACAACACACACACACACAGTCTGGAAGGAAACACAACTGCTGGCTGACTGCCTCTAGCAGACACTCCCAGGGTTATGTCCAAAACAAAAATCACAACTGCTGTCTGACTGCCTCTAGCAGACACTCCCAGGGTTATGTCCAAAACAAAAATCACAACTGGTTACTCCCTGCTTAAAACCCGCCAGTGGCTCATCACACTTGAAAACAAAACAAAGCCACCCCAGGCTTGTCGGGGCCTCTCTGACTGCACTTCCTGCCCAACTCCCTCAGCCCAGAGAGCTGTCGCTATGGTGGCTTCCTTGCGGCGCTTGTGGGCATTTTCTACCTCAGGACATTTGCACTTGCTGCTTCCTCAAGCTGAAACATGATCCCCAGCCACAAGGTACCTCTTCTCCCACGCCCAGGCCCGTGAGCCAAGGTCACCTCCTCCGAGAGGCCTTCCCTAACCTAACCAGAGCCCTTGTCCCACACGGCGCACTACCTGGCATGATGCTGACGTACACCTGCTGTCCCCTCCTCCTCACTAGGATGTAACCTCTGGCGGGGCGGGGGCGCTGCCTCCTTCTCTGCTGTCTCCCTGGGAACTAGAAGGGACCCTGGGATACGACAGGTGCACAAAACCCCTGTTAAATGAACTAACAAAAAGGGGTAGATGAGGAGAGTAGGACAGGATGATTTTACCCTTTTTAGCAGTTTCTCTTACACTGAGCATGTATTTGTGTATTTTTATGAAACAAGAGAATGAAGAGCTTAGAAAGAAAACAATTATTGGTTAATATGATTTCAAAGGTTATTGTTTTTCTAAAAATCAGAAGTTTCTCCCTCCATTCTTGTTCTGTTAACGTTTATCACTGAGTGTCTTTGTAACCTCTTCTCACAACCTTTGCTGCGCACTATCTATCTTAGACACTGACAAGGGCGATGAGTAAAAGTGAACGGAAACAGAAATTGAAAAAAGACTTTTATTGCAACATAAAAGATTTGCAGAGGTACAGCTTGGAGTACAGAGTGGGCTTCACCGCTTCGCCATTTCGGCATCTACGAATGTCTAAGGTAGCCCACAGGCCATGTGCTTTTTACCCGGCGGCGGGGGGGGGCGGGATAGCTAGTGCGAAGCTGCTGTATAGCACAGGGAGATCAGCTCAGTGCTTTGTGACCACCTAAAGTGGTGGGAGAGGGGGGGGGGGGGGGGGGTCCCAGAGAGAGGTGGGATGCCAGGTGGACTGACTGTGGACCACCTAAGACATCGGTGGGTCTTGATTTTACCACCATAAAACAAAGAGCTAAGTTTAGGCTAGACAATAGGTAAGTCTTTTCCTGTCCTAAATTCAATGATTTTCTCTCTCTTGGGATGACATAAAACAAGACGAATCTACATGTGCTTACGTTAGGGAACACAGAATATCTGATTCCGTCTCTGAGATTCAGTTACACCAGGGCCCTGCCTACAGCCCGTGATCCCTCACCACACATGCCCCAGACCCCTTGGGGCCCTGGACGTGGCGGTGAGCCCCAGAGCAGGACCATCACACTGTGCATAGCGCCGGGGCTGCAGGGTGCTCACACCACCTGGAAGCAGATTTTTTTTTTTTACTTGACATATTTGCACGTCATTAAGCATTATTCAAAAGCTGAAAGAATACACAAGATGAAAACTGAGAATGAGAATGTAAGTTTCAAGAACGGGATATTCTTAGCTACCAAAATAATTCCGTACACTCACTGTTTTATATTAATTTTAGGCTTGACATGATTTTAAAATAAATATTTTGAAAACACATACTAACCCTAATGGAACGTAAAATATAGTTTTATGTCAAATTTTTATATATTTTATAAATATATAATGAAGTTTTATATATATCAGAAAGCTCAGACATAAAAAGAAGGTTAATGATATACAAATTAAATTCTTTTACTGAGATGATTTTGGGGAGTTCATACCCAAGGAAAACATATGCAATACATCTGTGATTATATTTCAATCCATATAACTTCTCCAACTTGAAAAGGGTGGTTAAAATGATTCAAGGAGTAGAGAAATAATGAAGAATAAACTTGGCCTTATCGAAATGTTTACCCACTCTTTAGGTGAAGATGGTTTAAGTTCAAGATTTCTTCCCTTTTGATTGCTGAGACCTGTCTGTGCTCATCATCAGAAAGTGCAAAACTGCTGCTACTTTTGCTATAATGACATAGTTCATTACTATGGTTACAATTAAATTACAGATAGGAATATATCTATTTAAATGACATGCTTAAAGCAAATAAATAGAAATCTAATAAGGCCTGTTACAATGAACTATTTACTTAAACAAAATACTTTAAAAATTTCTTCATAGCTAAATTGCCCAGTTTCTTCAAAAATAAATATTAACTTGTTTCCACATTTATTTATCTTTTCTTAACAGAATGAATGGCTTACACCCCTCAATTTCCCTTCTAAAATAAACGGCCTCACCATTACAAACTGATAGTTTTAAAAGACCTCCACTCGCGTGCCTCTTTGCACAGTGATGCTGCAGTGACAGGCTGCACTGAAACAAGGAAAAGCGCTCACTCTAGTCCATTACTCACACAAGACATCCAGACATCACTTTTTCTTTTCACCTATAAGACTTAGAGAAATGTATTCCTAATAACAGGTTTGACCAAGGAACCTAGAAATTCCATGGGGCAGTAAGCCATCTATTCCTCAAGAAGTTAAAGAATTTATCGCTGTAAATATCAAACATACATTCTTTAAAGTTTAAAAAAAGGGAAAAAAGGAAATTTTGATTATGAAAAAGTTGTGATAAACGTGGAAGATGGACACACTACTACATATTCTTATAGTGGAGAGACCGGTAAAGGAGGTTCACATACTTTCACTACATCCTCGGGGTAACTCTTCCATTGCCTCTGCAGACTTTTCCACATCCCAGTCGCCTACAAAGTTTAGCTTATCATCACTTTGTGCTTCACCTTCAGGGGAATTCACCATTTTAGAAGGAGTATCTTCTTTCTGTGTGCTTTTTATGTCAATCCATCCTTTCACTTCTTTATTGCTTCCTTTCAAAGAAGTAAAATCACCTCGAAGTCCCTTCTGAGGAGTGAGTCCGTTGAGGGTATGGGGAGAGTCACTCCCGCCCAGGCGGACGTCTCCCCCTCTCTGAGCCTCGGCCCGGGGACAGTCCCCTGGGGTCCCTTCGGCAGCAGACGTTTCCTTAGAAGTCACGCTGCTCAAGCCCGGATCAGCTCCGTAGCTTGCAGGCTTCTGGAGACAGAAGCCAGCCTTCACTGTTGAGTCGGTACCATCGGCTGACCTGGGGCTTCTGCCGATGCAGGAAAAGTCAGCCCTTTCCAGGAGGCTGGTCCTCTCTCTCCTGGAAAGGCTCCTCATGCAGTGGAGCAGGGCAGGGCCAGCGGGCGGCTGGACCCTGGGAAGGAGGCTCTCCGAGTCCCTCTCCTTGAGATTATCGGGAGAAAAGTAATCATCGTACGAGGACTCCCCGCGGCCCAGAGTCTCCATGGCAGAGCTGCTTGTGCACTTCGGGCTGTTCTCTGGCTGCAGCCGGGGCGCGGGGGGCCACCCGAAGGACCACCTCTTGCTCAGTCTCTCCTCCGGGGGTGGACTGGAGCTCGCCAACACCCTTCTTCTCATGGCTGAGGGGCTCTGGGGACATGAAGGGCCCCCGGCGGGCTCCTTTGTTACAGATGGCGTAGGAAACAGGCCCCTCTTCTCATCAAACACCCCCTCAGCCGGCTCCCGTGCTGGCTTTGCATCGGGGGTGATGACTTGGCCCGCAGCAACCCTCTGCCGGTGGGTGTCTCCCTTGGAAAGACTGCCGGGGGACTGGTGAAGGGTTAACTGGCCAAGGGAGCCGGGAGATGCTGGAGGACAGACACGTCTCGTTTTCAACACAGCTGAGGAAGCACACGCAGCGCTTTTACTTTCGTCAAGGAATCCTCCCAATTTCCTCTGCTGAGTCCCACATCCAGAGCTCCCACAAAGATCATCAAAAGACAAGTGCAGAACACCAGCAAAGGAGTCCTCTGGAAAACATTAATAAAGAACCAACTTTTTAATGGTTTACATTATTACAAGACTAATTCTCAGCCCGCCCATAACGTGATAAAGCGATCCTCCCTAAGCACGGCTCCTGCTTCAAAAGGGCGTCACCCACACCCGCTTCTCACGACAGGTGAGGACACCCTCCCGGCCGGCGTTTCTAATCAGGGGACCCGGGCTTCCCCGTGCGCGTGGAACAAGGTGGGGTCAGAGAGGGAGTGGCACTCTGGATGTTCACACGCCCGGGTGCCTCGCTCCACGAACAGCGTCCGCACCCCGTCACTGAGGCCTCGAGGAGGCCAGCAGTCCTAGAAGGAGGGACCACTGCGTTCAGGCTCTAGTCGACCACCATGAACTCGGCTGCCCAGACTCCCTGCTGCCTGCCAAAGGCCTCACTCTGTATTCATATTCCAGGAGCCGCCTGGCACATCTCAGGGCTCTGGCTCTCCACGCATCTTCCTACACGTTTCTTGAGGGTAACGCGAAGCTCTGCCCAGCTCCCGAAAGCTGCCTTTACACTCCCCCTGCTCCACGCTCTAACCTGGATAAACACTACCCTTCCTTCGAAACCCACCTTGGACATCAGACCTCTGCAAATCCTCCCAGACTTCACCAGCTCTGGTCTCACACGTCCTCCTCTGCTACACAAAATTCCACCCAAACCTTTAAGAGCATGTGTGTCACCGCCCTGTGCTTATACTCCTATCTGCCCCGCTCCCTAGCCTAGAGGCCCCCAGCACAGACACTGCTTTCTGGAATCTGGAGCCGCTGGCCCAGCACTGGCTCCTCTGATAGGGGCTCGGCGCTTGCTGAACGATGGAGGACCCCCAGTTTATAGAAACTCCACACCAGAGGCAACAGAGATGTCTTAACTTACTAACTGACACCACTAAGGCTCTACTTTTAAAGAGGGAGGAGACGGACAGCCCCCAGGGAGCAGAGAGAAGCCCAGCGGGGGGGTGGTGCTGCGTGTCTCTAACTCAGCAGCTGGAAACATAGAACATGTTTAATTTTAGCAGCTGAATAAGCTTAGCTCACTTTTCAAAAGGCTGGCAAGCAGCATGACACGGCATTAAGAGAGTAAATTCTGAAGTCAGACTGCCTACTTCGAAGCCCGGGTCAGCCGCTCACAAATGGTGTGACCTCTTACGAACTGTCTGACTTCTCACTGGCCAGGCTTTCTCACCGGCAGGAGGGGGACAATGATGGAGCCTGCGTCACGGGGCTAACGGGAGAATCAGACGAGATACAGACACGCGAGCAGCGCCCACAGAACAGCCAACGATGAAACTGAGCTAGTTACTGTTGTCACTTGTTTCCAACTTATAGGCAATACATGCATCAAGTATGAAATAAAAAGATGGCGATTATTTAAGATACGTGGGCAAATAATTTCAATACACACCAAAAAGATTAAAGAATAAACCATGCACAAAACGAAGCTTTTGTGAAAATAATTTTACCTGAACACAAAGTATCATGTGAAAGGTTCAAAGATGCTTCACACAGAGAGTTAACGGTGTCATCCTCAGACTTTTCAACGATCTGGGAAGCTGAAAGCATAATCAAAACTCCTCATTAAATAACAGTAGATGAAGCCAATACTAGGTCCACTCATTCCACTCTTGTGGCACTGACACACACACCCACACACACCCACACACACCCCCCCACACACAGGACTTATTCCTAATACGTGCCATTCTAGATTTCTTACTCAAATCTATTACAGATGATGAGAATCATTAAAATATAATTTATACAAATCATATCATAAAAAAGGCACAGAATCCTAGGATAATAAAAGTTGGAAGGGCTCTTGGAAAGTCGGCCGGCCTAGACCTAAGCAGAAGCTCGATACGGGTAAAGAGAACCTTTCAGTCAGTCTCACTGCTCAATGATCAAGGCTTTTCTCATGATGATCACAGCTGCCTCTATGAACAGAGCAGTGGTTCTCAACCAGGGGCGGCCTGGCGCCTGCAGATGCTGCTGGACGTCGCGGGTGGGGCTGTGGTGGACAGTGAGCCATGCTGCCAGCATCTAGTGGGCAGGGGCCAGGGCTGCTGCGGATCACTCTGCCAGGCACAGGATGGCCCCAGCAACAAAGAACTACACAGCCCCAAGTGTCCGGAGGGTGGGGGCTTCACAGAAAAACATCCAGGAGATCAGCGATTCAACAGCTAAGGCCACAGGCGTCACCTTCAAAGGCTGTGCATGCAACAGAGCAGAGACAAGAGAGAGATCTCGGTCTCACGGTCAGAGATTTTTTTTTTTAATTAATTAATTATTTAGTTAGTTAGTTAGTTTTGGCTCATTGGGTCTTCGTTGCTGCACGTGGGCTTTCTCTAGTTGCAGCCAGCGGCGGCTACTCTTCGTTGCAGTGCGCGGGCTTCTCACTGCGGTGGCTTCTCTTGTTGTGGAGCATGGGCTCTAGGCGCACGGGCTTCAGTAGTTATGGCACGCGGGCTCAGTAGTTGTGACTTGCGGGCTCTAGGGCACAGGCTCAGTAGTTGTGGCACATGGGCTTAGCTGCTCCGCGACTGGGATCTTCCGGATTCTTAATCACTGCGCCACCAGGGAAGTCCCCAGAGATTTTTTTTTTTTTTTTTTTTGCGGTACGCGGGCCTCTCACTGCTGTGGCCTCTCCCGTTGCGGAGCACAGGCTCCAGACGCGCAGGCTCAGCGGCCACAGC